CCCCCCCCCCCCTCCCCTGGGCTGAAAAAGACTGAAAGTGGTAAAGGTTTTGTTGACAGAGGAAAACGTTTCAATATTGAGCTCCTTTGGCACAGCGGTGGGAAGGAACGATTGGCCATCGGTGATCGGTCCTGCGGGAACAACGCCCCATCCCCTCGAGGACGTTTGGTCAATGGTCTAACCGCTCCGCCATGCGAAACACGCACCCCCCCCCTCCCCCCCCCCCNCCCAGGCCATGAACCTCTTGGCTGAAATGGAGAGAGCGAGAGTCGTCCCGGACGTGGCCTCCTACACCGCGGCGATTGGGGCATGCTCCAGGGGGGGAGACCTCCCGGCCGCCCTCGGCCTGTTCGAGGCGATGCGCCGCCCCTCCCCTCCCAGCGCGGCGGCGGCGACAGCGGCGGCGGCGGAGCCCGGCACCGGCGACGGCGCGGTGGGTGGGCGAGCGGCGAAGGTCCGGGCGGCGCCGATGGCCGACGCGCAGGCGTACGGGGCCGCGGCGGCGGCGTGCGCCAGGGGATTGGACCACCGGGGGGCCTTGCGGCTGCTGGGCGAGATGCGCGAGGCCGGGCTGAGGCCAGGCAGGCCGATGTTCGGCGCCGTTATCGACGCCTGCGCGAGGCGCGGCAAGTGGGAGGAGGCCACCGCCTTGCTTGAGGTAGGTTCGTTCGCTCCTGGGGCCGTGTGTGGTTTAGGACGCGTTCGCGTGTCGTTTGTATTGTGTATTTGTTTTTTTGAAAGCTCGTAGTTGGATTTGGGGCGCGGCCGTCCGGCGGGGCTCCCTTCATGGGGGCCGTTTGTCTCGGCTGTTTGCTGTTTCTTGTTTTTGCTTTTTTTTTTCGTATTTCTTGTTGGCATCGACGGCGCTGTTTTCCGTCCGACCAATGAAAAGGCCTCGCGCGCAGAGTTAGGGACGAGTACCGTTTCCTAAGGTAGGTGTGTGTAGGCGTGTGTTTTCCCTCGACTGCCATCGACCACGCTTAGCCTCTACGACGGTGAGGGGAGCTTCTGCTGTTACCCCCGCTGATCGACGGCAACAACGTCAGGGGGGTGAGTGCGCGTTCCTGCGGCAGCGTGGGGGCAGGCCTACCGTGTTTCTCGTCGGGAAGTGTGCGTGTGCGTGCTTCTTTGGTTAGCACCGGCAGCGCTTACGTTCTAGTCGAATCACGTAGGAACACGGACGATGAGTGTAGGCACCTTGTTGCCGACTGTGAATGAGGTAGGACCGGGTACTACCTCTCGAGAGATATGCCCGATCAGCTGTCATGGCCGCGTGGAGGGGGTGGAGGCAGAGGACGGGTGATTATAGTGTGTGACGTTTGTCAGTATTTTCACTGTCGTATCAGTAACCATTTAGCAGTAGCAACAGTAGCAGCAGCGGTTCCAGCAATGGCGATACACAAGCAACATGATAGTATCCGCCGTATTCCATGCCAGACTTTTTAGCAACGGGCACGACAACGCACCGCTGTGCTGTTGCTGCTTTGCTCGGACGCGGTGCCTCATGTTCCGTGCGGTCCTTGCTTCCCCTCCCTGTTAATCGTGTTCTTCCCCCTTCCGTGCTCGCTTTTTTTTTTGTCTCTCGACCGATGTGGCCCGTTCGCGGCATCATTTATGCGGAAATGGAAATCGTTTTCGCGGAAAATGGCAACACGATAACTCGTGACCACCAGGAGATGTCGGCATCCGGCGTAGCGCCGTCGCTTAGGCACTACTCTAGCGCTATTTTTGCGTGCGCGTTGGGGGAGAACCCGGGTGAGAAAGACGGGCTTCCATTTGTTTGTCTTGCGGGAACAAATATAACCGTGTGACCACGGGTTGGAGCTGCTACCCAGCAAACCGTTGTGAGCGCTGATTTAAGGTTACGAACAAGAAACACAACTGTATCCACAGATGAGAGTCCAGGATGAAGTAACGAATACCCAGGATAAAATAGCAATGATTGTCGTAGGGTTATTATGTTCGACCTGCCTGTCCACGACGCGGAAAGGAGAGCGCTATTTAAACACGTGGTTTTCATTTATCGATTTTGATTGCTTCGTCCTACAACTTCTGTAGGTAGTTTGTCTCCCTGGGGAAAAACGAATATTTCAATGTGTACAGCCGCAAAAAGCGGGATGTTCGCGAAAAGGCACATTCCGCCTCAGGGATTGGCTTCAAGAACCCTCGATTGGTGTTGCCGCAGAAGCGTACCGCCAATTTCTTTCACCGTTTCAAAATGACCTCATTGTCCTCCTCCCACCGAACAACCCCCTCCTTTTTCGTTAACAAATGCTGCCTCTCTACCGCTCTTGTTTTGTGTGAAAATGACGGCGCGTGCTCTGCCAAAACCACCTCTCCCCAGGGAAAGGACTGGAACTCCTGTCCGTGATGCGGAAGAAGCGTGTGAGCCCCAACAGCACCTGTGTGAACGCCGCCATCCACGGCTTCGCGCTGCTGGGTGACTGGGAGAAGTCTTTGGAGATTCTCAACAATATGGAGAGGGCCCACCACGTTGTTCCTGATTCGGTGGGTTGCTGCTGCTGTTGTCGTTGTTGTTGTTGTTGTTGTTGTTGTTGTTGTTGTTGTTGTTGTTGTCAATGCTATCGTCATTGTTGTTGCTGGTGTTGTTGTTGCTGCTGCTGTTGTTGTTACCGTTGCTGCTGCTTGCTACTGTTGCTGTTGTTGTCATTGTTGTTACTTTTCTTACCATTGTTGTTTGATGTTGTAGGCTTCACAGCAGTACAGCATGTTTCATGACCTTAACGAAGAGAAGCAAGATTCCGTGGTTGCACGCAACGCTTGGCAATGCCCGAAAACAACACGAGATCCGATGGGTTGCCGAGTAAAGCATTTTCCGGTGCTGTGAGCATTCAACTCAGGTAAATAGCCGAAAGCCTGAATTCAGGTACAGCCCGTATGCACTCATGCGTGGATGGTCTGGAATTTCCCTCGGAGGTTTATGCGGGAGGGCAGGGGAATCGAGGGGGGGGGGCAGCAATGTCCGTGGCCGCTTTTTGTCAACAGCAAGGGGGTGAGCGGGCTCACTTGTATACTGTATGCGGCGTGTAAACACCATTTTCATGTGCATATTTACATGTTTCATTTTTGGTTTGGCGACGACTATAGCAATATAGGAGCTTGTCTTGGTGAAGAAGCCGCTGCTGCGTTTTCGCCATCTTCTCACGCCTTTGCTATCGCCCCCCCCCCCCCCCCCCCCCCCCCCCCCCCCCCCCCCCCCCCCCCCCCCCCCCCCCCCCCCCC